GTACAAAGCCAGCTTTAATTCTTGGGGATTCAAAGCAAACATCGAATCTAAGCTTAGGATTTCAATTGTCCTTTGGCTCTGTAACGTCAGGGGGACTTGGAAGTGAACAACAGTCAAAGGCTACCAAAAGCACTGTTTCTTCTTTGCTTGATCCAAAGCCTGGTAATTCTAAATATGACCACGAATGCCAAGAACGCCGAGGATTTACGCTTGGTGGAACAAATCAAGAAGGTAGTACAAAACCAGCTTTTAGTTTCGGGGATTCAAAGCAAACACCGACTTTAAGCTCAGGATTTCAATTGTCCTTTGGCTCCGTAACGTCTGGGGGACTTGGAAGTGAACAACAGTCAAAGGCCACCAAAAACACTGTTTCTTCTTTGCTTGAACCAAAGCCTGGTATTACATTCGGGTTTGGTGCTTCGTCTTCTGAGGGAGTCTCCTCATTCGGCTCTGATGGAACCAGTCAAAGTGATTCAAAACCAGTTTTCACTTTGGGCAGCCAGAACCCAAGCTCTGGAGTTGCATTTAGTTATGGTTCCTCCTTCCACTAATACAACCCCTTAAACTAGTTCCTTGATTGACCCAGCAGGCAATAAAAGAGCTGATAATACTAAAGATGATCGAAATCAGAATATTCAAGAAGGGCTAGATGTCAAAGAAAACCCAAAGTGAAAGAAAGTAGTAACAGTTATCACTTTTGGTTACCAGAAACGAACATACACCCCGAGCTCAGGAATTTCATTTAGTTTTGGCTCCCAAGTCAAAGAGGAAATTTGAGTGAAATCACACAAATATCAACTCTAAAGCTGATTCGTTATTTGAATCGGCACGCGGAAAAAGGAGCTGATGATGACAGAGATGATCAGACAGTCTGTTGGTTCGAACCAAACATCCGATCTTTTAAGTGGATCTACAGCTTCAAAAAGCTCCTGTGGAAAAAGTGTAGTAGACATGAATCAGTTTTCACTTCTTGTAACTCCTAATTAGTATTTTACATCCAGGTAAATCTGATTCTTTATCATCAGGCGGAAGTTTTACGAATTGACTCTAGAACAAGTCCAGTCGACAAAAAAAAAAGGTTTTTATTCCTCGTTACTTAAATCAATCAGTATGGCACCATTGTTAACTTCGGGTCAGGAACATCATTCTGGTTTCAAAAGTCTTAAAATAGTCTATCTATTCGTAAACGTCTCTACCTGGGAGGATGACTTTCGGGAACTCACGTGGGAATCTACTAGGTCTTGATCTAAATCTGCTGAAGTACTGCTTAGGAAAAATGGAAATATAGGGTTGATTTAAAAATTGAAACCCGATAGAGTGGGGTTCGAAGATGAGCAATGGCTGTTGAAATTAGCATTGACATTGAAAAGGAATTTATATGAATAATACTATTAAATTTGATTGCAAAAAGGAGAGAAAAGACTTTTAATACCCAATACTTCATTTAAACGTTTATTTTGACTCGAGGAAATAACAAACAAAATGTCTATCTTGTCAAGTTTATGAAAAATTAGCGTCTTAGAAATTTACAAATGTGACACCTGAGTTAGAAAATATTTACAAGTGAAAAAAAAAAAGATATTTTGTACCTAAAATTAAAGTAAAACATTTCAAAACTGCAAGACACAATGAAAAAAAGCAATGAGTACAACGGTGAAGGCCAACGGAGTAAAAAATGTCTCAAATAACTCAAGAACAGTGCCCTCCAGATGTTTCACTCCTCCTTTTTGGACATTTTATCTTCTCTCATTGAACAAAAGTAATCTTTGTCCTATTGGAGTTGATTTGCCAAACATTCAAGTCTTCATACTCCCCAAGACAGGCATCAAATTGGTCTGGCGTAAAGCCCTTTGCCAAACATCGTTGCTGTACGTCTGGAAGTCTAAGATGAAAAAAAAGGATTTATCATGTAAAAAAATTATCATGTAACTCGGCGGCATTATTTCCATCAATTCACCCCACATATAAATCCTACGATTACCCTCAATTTTTGTGAAAACAGTCATGACACCTGCACACTTTAAAATATGCAAGTGCTTCAACAGAAATTTGTTTGATCAATTGTGGAATAGTAATTTAGTTCTAATCACTTTATTCAAATAATATTCAAATGACTTACTTTACACTGCTAGCATCTCCAGCCATTTCTTTTACAATTCCATAAATTGCATCAACTGGGTTTACAGTTCTGGCAAAGAACAAATACAATGGTTCAGTTAAAAGTAGAACTTTTCAACCACACTTCACAGATCCAATGCTTACTTAATTAAACACCTTATATCCAGGGAACCAAATAGGTGCAAAGGAATGAGCTTTTAACACTTTTACTCTCTAGATCTCATTCATAATTCTCCTTGCTGTCTGCCACACAATTCTCATGATGTTATTTCTGATAATTTTGTATAGGATCAACTAAAAATTCCCTTATGGAAATTGTTCTCCAGTTCTCATCACTTATCTGCTGGATATTGTACTGATATTGTAAGGATAAATTCTGTCTTGGTCACTCATGGGAGTTGAAAGTTTAAAGCAATCAAGTGAGCTTCTGGAGGGGTTATAGCCCCATCTACCATGGAAAATAAGTCCTCTGGTGCATTCACCATCTGCACAAATCTAATCTCCATGATACTATTCCTGAGACTTAACCCTTAATTTACACCCTAACATCAGTATCAATTTTCTCTATACTGTTCTCTTTATATTTCCTAAGATGCTAGCAAGGAGAATTTGTCTGACAATCACAAGCTTCTTAAGTTGTCATCATTTTCCTTAATCTCATTTCATTAATGTTCAATTCAGCAGAAATGCTGTAGGGAGAAATAATTTGCTACATGTGGTTACAATTTGGGGTCAAAGGGTTTAGAAAAATGTCATGCAAAGAAATGGGCTGATTTTTGTCTTCATAGCTTCTGTATGATCTTCGTGTCAGGTGAATTTTCTTACCTTGTTTTTGTCTCGTCTTCAATTAAGGAAGCCTTTGACATCTCCATAAGTCTCATAGCTTCATTCACATCTTCCTTCTCCACCACATCTGCCAAACGGAGACGAGCCTATAGACACATAACAGAAACATTGCATTGAAACAACAAACAGAGGGGCCAACATGCAGAATCTACACCATTTGTATGTGAATGTGTCCCCATAACTCATTCAAACATACTATTTCAAGTGCAAAGGTCTGAGATAATCCAGATGCACTCCTCACACAGTTTCTTTGTGCCATCCCAATGGGAATTCACAGAGAGGACTAAAACCTTGAACAGAACAAAAAGGAAGATAAAACTGATCATTGAACCTTTCCCACTTTCCTTATCCCAAAACTGTACCCTTGTGTCCACCATCTGTTTGACTTTTCCTTTTGTTTATTCCAATTTGTTAGTCCAATGTGAATTAAGCATTACATGTATAACAAGGTTGGAGATTTTTGGCTTGTCTCTGTGCAGGATCATCACCTTGGTTTAGCATTTTAATTGAAACATATGTAAGGTTTCTTCTTTACAAGCTGTCCAATAACTCTTCAGCAAGGAATTTAAAGCAAAATGACAGTAAGTAGTGCATGTACTAACCAAGGCAGTTGCAAGACGCAGAACGGCCAGAAGTGTTCTTGCTGAGGTGAAAGTTGTGTCTCTGTTGGTCCTGGCCTCCTTTCTCATTTCCACATAAGCACTGACAATGTAATCTGTAAGTGTCTCAGGAATCAGAGGTTGTTTTTCCTTGCATGCAGCTATATAACGCCTGTGGAGGAAAAAATTGTAATGACTTAATGTGAGAAAGAAGTGCACCTGCATTCAGTCCTGATGGGTTATGCAATCACACTGTTTTCAATTGTAAATGTATTGGAAAACCACTCCTTTCACCAATACAGAAAGACCTTTGCAACACATGCCACTGTGTTAGACACTGTATGACAGCATTTTGAAACTTGAACATTTTCAAAATTCTAAAATCAAGTGTTCTTTCAAAAGCTTTATTTTCAATGCTAGGAACATTTTTAGTTTTTATTAAAATCTTCAAAGGTACATGTACAAGTAGATTTTTTCAAACAAAAAAGCATCAGTGTGAAGAGGAATTAGGAGAAACACTTTTGCATACCATACCTCATAAGGTTCATGTCCAAAGATGTAAACTGCATTGGAGGGTGTGAACTGTGCTGATGGACATATGTAATGTGCTGTGCCAATCTGCAAAGCAAAAAAAAAATTCAGCCAGATGATTCTAGGCATTAAGATCATGCAAATCTGATGAGTGCTTTGGAGGCATGCATTTATTATTTGTCAGTTTTCTAGCATGTGCTGTACGATTTATAATTTTCTCTGAGGTCTACTGATCTGCCTGAACTCAACTATGTAGTGTAACCATTTGGGTGAGGGAAGTTCTGAAAACAACTGGGTTACAAGTAACTGTCACTGCCATTCGGAACAATAATTTTCAGGACTGTACACTCACCTGAATGATCAAACTGCAAGATCAAATTTATGCAAAACACAATCATAGAGGTCAGTGAAGACCATCAGAGTGGACAACCTCTCACCTCAAGTCATTATCTCTGTCTGGTTTATCCTGAATCAGCCAAAGCAAGTCAAATCTTGATAACAGTGCTGCTGGGAGCTGAATGTTCTGTTCTGCAGATTTCTTTGGATTATACCGTCCATATGCTGGATTGGCTGCAGCCAGGATAGACACTCGTGCATTCAGGCTCGTCATGATTCCAGCCTTTCAAAACAAGATGTTTACATGAACCATTAAATCAAAATAATATTTTTAAAAAAATTGTGAATACACAATGAGCCATCATGGTCTATCATATCACAAAATTTCCCCTGAAATAATTTTGCTGGCAGAATTATTGAAAAATACTTGTCAAAAAAAGCAAAAGATCATTGTCCTTCTTACCTTGGCAATGGAGACAGTCTGCTGTTCCATAACTTCATGGATTGCAGTTCTATCAGAATCCATCATCTTGTCAAATTCATCAATACAACAAACTCCCTTGTCTGCCAGCACTAGTGCACCTCCCTCTGAAATGATCAGTATGGACTTTCATTGAAGAATACTAGTCATGTAACCTGTGATCTGCATATTGTTCAGTCTCACATCATTCTTGTGTTCATTATTTGGCAATTTGCGCATTCATAATAACAAGAAATTAAGTACTAGAGGTCAGGGTACTCTAGTCTGTTCCTAGTAACCTGGATTCAAGCTTAAGATATAGCAAATTTTTTTTTTTTTAAATTTGGCCAGTCTAATTTCCTGTAATCTCACTGCATTTCCCCACCATGCAGTATAAATTGGTAATGGGAATTATCAGGCAGGAAAACTGGGGGGCAAACCTGTGATAAACATGTTTCACAGCCATCAGGGATCCCTCATGGTGGCTTTGCTCTATGGATGGTCATCTTTGATGCTGATGAGCCACTCGGCTTGTAGACTGTACGGACACAAAGTTACAAATGTATTACATACCAAGAATCATTTCTCCTGTCAGAGGATCTTTCATTACAGCCGCAGTAAGACCAACCCCTGAGCTTCCACGTCCTGTGGTGTACTGACCTGAATAAGAATAAATTCAACAATATAATAAATAAAGTACTAATGGAAAAGTAATTGATGTAATGTCATTTTTCAGAAAGAAAGATAACAAGGTTTAAAACTCCAACAGGCAGGAGCTAAACAAGTTCAATAGTTCCCTTAGCAGATTAATTCTGAAGCTCAATTACTCACTGCGAGGTGCAAGCCTGTCGATGTATCCCAGCATTTGACTCTTTGCTACACCTGGGTCACCCATTAAAAGAATGTTGATATTTCCTAAAGGATGAAGAAAGATAATCATTTCCACTTAATCACTTGTTAAGAATACTTATTGATCACAATTTTGAAAAGAAACAAACTATACTGACACACAGCAAGAACAAGGAATGTACCTCTGATTTTCATCCCTTGGGGAGTACAATCTACACCTCCTACCAACAACAGAAGTAATGCCTTTTTGATGTCTTCATGGCCATAAATTTCAGGAGCAAGTGACGAGGCCAGCTTATCATAAAAGTCTGCTTCTGTAAAAAAAAAAAAATCCTCTGTCAAGAATCACCCACTCATTGAGGAGCAGTGTCATCATTATAACCCTAATTTCCGTTGTTGTCATCGTCATCATCATTGAAAAATTGATAGGGACCTACACCCTTGTTTCATCATTAACACTTTCATTCCCACAGGTGAGCAGTCACTAATTTATCCTTTAAATATCAGTATATTTGTCCAGCAAAGAGGTGTTGGAAAAAAAAAATCAAAAGAAAGACTGAGGGCTATTTTTCATTTGACATTACACTATTGGGGCTGAAATCATATGAAATAGACAGCAGAAAGTAAAGGGAGGTGCTAATGAGATTTTGGTAGTGAGAAGAGTTAATTAGCCAGTGTTTGCACATATTAATTGAAAGTGCTTAAATATAAATGTATTTATGTCCCAACTTGCACTCATGTTGATCTACATGTACACTTTCCCAGTGCTGCTGTTCAATAATCATGATCTTGGTAATGAGCGGGTTAATTAGCCAGTGTTACACATCTTAATCAAAAATGCTTACATATAAATGTATTTATGTACTGAGTAGCACTCATGCTGATCTATGTTATCCTTGATGAACAAACAAAAGAAAATATACTTTCTCAGTGCTGCTGTTCAATAATCATGATCATGGTAATGAGAGGGTTGATTAGCCAATGTTACACATCTTAATCAAAAGTGCCTACATAATATATAGATTTAGCCAAGCCTAAAAGCAGAGCTTGCATTTTTTTTTCCCTGCACGTCTCAAGGGCACAATGCCTTTATGCCAGGACTAGAACCCAGGTCATCCAACTCAGAGCCTAGTGCACTGACTACTGGACTACTGAACAAAGCTGTGGCACTGGCATGCCCACAGTACAGTTGACCACACATGTTAAAAGTAGCACCTTGTACAGTCGTACATCCAAATTTTTTCGGCTTGATGGGTTACTACCGTAATTTCCGGTCGTTTACCCGCGGGTAATCTCTTGATTTTGCATTAAACGCGCGCCACTGCGGGTAATAGGGAGGTGCGGGTTATGTGACAATTTTAAAATCCAGTGGTAGTTGAATTGAAAAAAAATATCACCAACATGCGTTTCCACCTCTCAAGTAAATTTTATTGTGCTAATAGTGCCGCAAAGCGGCACGAAAACATGATGCCAACTCAAGTTTATTTCACGCATAATTAGTTGCGCGACAAACAAATTATTATCGGCACGCGTGAAAACAAAACCTTGATGGTGACAAAAATTATCCAAAGATATCCGGCGCATCAGTAACAAATTTCCATTTAACACTAGCTTGAGCTAAAGAGAATTTTTCCGTTTTAAGGGACTTGTTAGGCCCAATAGAACCGGAGATATCGATTTTTTCAGAAATCGCCGACAGTACTTTATAATTCAAGTTTTAATACTCACCCAGCTTTTTTTCAACAAATCAACATGGCGCTGAACGATCGCTCGCACAAAATGAGGCCACAAATTCGCATTCTGTCAAGTATGAAACGTTGAGATTTGGGCATGGGCCGCTAGTGTTTTTACTGTATAATCTTATCAATAAAGTACATGCTAATATTGACACAGAATTGTGCACGCGTCTGAATTTCTTTGACCTTTAAACTCGACAAAGACGCTTTCAAGTTTTCGAAAGTTGGATCAGACAACTTTTAAAAGACTGAAATGTATCACCTTAATGTCACGTTTTCGCCACCAAAAAGTTGAATAACAACGTGCGGGTTATCCACCAGTGCGGGTAATCTGTTGACTTTTTTTTTCGCCATATGCAATAATCGGCCGGTGCGGGTAATCGGCCGTGCGGGTAAACGACCGGAAATTACGGTACTATGCTTTGCAAGCTCTGCTATAAATGTATTTATGTACCAACTAGCACTCATGCTGATCTATGTTATCCTTGATGAACAAACAAAAGAAAATATATTTTCTCTGTGCTTCTGTTCAATTATCCTGATATAAAAAAACAAACCTTCAGACAATGCCCTGATTTCTTCATCACTTAGTTCCTCATTTCCCAGTTCATCATCTTCTGTCTTGTTCATTTTTACAATTCTCTAAAGCAAAGAAAAGAAACAATGCAATCAATTTAACTTGTTCACATTTACCTAAAACTACATGTCTATATATACAAATCAGGAAAGATGTTAAAGAATTCTTATATGTGAGACTCTAAAATCAAACCCCAAACAGTTTTGAATTTCAAATCAATTGAAAAACGATAACTTTCCAGATAAGCAAATTTTTGGGAAACTTACATGAGCCTCTAGAAATGTTTCTGATAACAATCCCTGGGTAAGCTGCCTAAATCCAGTCTTCATCATAGGGAGGAACACTCCTGTAGCAGCGATGTGATCCCCAGGTACTGCAAGACGAGTTGTTTCACCTTTTGCTATGACCGTCATAGTCCTTGGAATGTTTCCCACAGGAACTTGATCACTGTGTTCTTGGATTTTTAGTTCTTGGAATTTAACAAACTTAGAGCCTCTTGTTTGAAGGTAAAGACGACCACCAGCCCTAAAAGGGAAAGATTCAGACAATTTTAAGCCTTGAAAACATCTCATTCTGTGTCTTAGAATATATTCATGTGAAGAATTCCAAAAAAACATATTCAGTCCTTTTTGGGGTATGCTTTCCCTTTTGCCATAGCAACTTTTGTAGCTTACCTGCCTACTTAATAATTCTCCCAAAATGCCAATCATGAAAGGAGAGGAAGATGTCAGATACATGTATTTTTTAATCCCTAAGTTAATTGTACTCGACAACAGCCAAGAAAATAATTATAATAACAATAAATATATTTGAAATGATGTAAAGGTTGGAGATCAAATTTTAGAACTTACTTGTTAACCTTGCACTCCTCACTGGGGCACATCAGAAGCGGCATAAATGTCTGCGATGAAATCTGGAAAAATGAAACCAGCATTCAACATCTCAGCCACATGAGTGCAGACACAAGACATCTTAAAAACTCTCCTTAAAATTTTCAGTCATGTCTGGGATCAAAATAAAGCAAATAGTGTACATACTGGCTGATAAGACTCTGCACCACATTGATCACAAGTGTATGTTGCTACTTCAACAACTGGTTTTACTTCTGTACACCTTGTGACAATTCCACGCACCACAACAAGTTTACCAATGTTGTCAGCTTTCACTTCACGCACAGCACTGGCCTTGTGTGTGCTTAGGTGCTTAAAATACACCTCACTGACAAAAATTAACAAAAAAGGAAAAATAAAAAGGTCAATAAAAAGTGTGACAGTCTGGAAACCTTTATCCAAGGTAAGTCAATTTCAACATAATGAAACCCTACATGAGAAAAAGACTATCAACCCTTTACACCCTAACATCAGTATCTATATTCTCTGTGCTCTTTTCTATAAGTTTCCTTTCATACTGTCAAGGAGAATTCATTTAACAATCAAAGCGTCGCAGGTTGACAATTATCCTTCATATCCTCATGATCTTAATGAATGATTCAGGAGTAGTACTGTTGGGAGAAACTAGAAGCTGTTCACTCTTACGGTTTAGGAGGTAAAGAGAAGTATTTTGCTTGTTTTCCAAACCAAAGTTTGGGTCCCCCATCAAAACTTCCCACTAAGATCCACCCCCCCTCTCCCATGTCAGAGACTTACTATCTCCTAAGAAGCTCTGGTGGATATTTGTTCCTTGGGTCTCTTGCCTCTGTATCATTTCTGTTCCGCTGCTCCAACAGAAGGCGATGTTCGATGTACACATCTAAGGCATCTTTCACTTGAACCTTAAAAGACACAAAATTATGACAATTGTCATAAAACTGTTCACAGAACTGCACTGTGTACTGTTCATCAAAAAAAATTGTGTCTAAATTATTTAAGTTTGTCATTTGAAAATCATCATTATTATATTTGTGATCCTTGTTCCTTTAAGGTTTATTTAATTGGTGTTATTTCTACTTAGGTACAATGTGGTGATCACAGCTATTTTAAACTTATTTTCCCTGATATGTTTGTTGCTAGGAGGATGTACATAGCTGCTCATTTTTTTTTAACTCATTAGTGAAAATATAACATGTATATGTACATGACTATATCTGTAGTTTTTTTTAGCTTTGGCTCAACAACTTCTTCACCAATAATGCTGACAATGTGACTTCAGCTTTATTTCTGAACACCTGTCCTACACTGTACCTCTCTCTCCTTGTAGTCTGGCAACATTTCAAACACAGCATCCTCAAACAACTGTTTGTAACGACGTGCATTTTCCAAAATGTTTTCTGATAACTCAGGATCAATCTACGTGTAACACAAGAAAATGTTGTAAATAACGTTACTTCCTGAATTTCTCTTCATTCTACTAACACTTGTATAACCAGTACGAGGCCAATACTGAAATTAAGGTCAACTCAGTCTTGTGGCATGGAGTTAACTCCTAGAAGTAAAGGCTTTCACATCCGCTAGCTCGATCACCAAAAATAAACTTGGAATTTTTATGTCATATTTTGCAAGACCATAGAATAGGCTGTGTACTCCTCGAGCTCTCCTAACTTTTTCAACGCTTCGTTATGCACACGATTACTATTGCGACGGATTTACACGAACTATCTATACTCTGGATGCGTAGAGTAATAGCATAATCGTATTTAACCATTGCAAATAACCTACTGATAAATGTTCTGTCGCATGCAGACAAAAAAATATGCTCAAAAGCTGACCTAATTAATTAGGATTCGGATCAAAGTCACTCCGCAAAATCGATCAAACGAAGTGCCTTACCTCGGCGATATCATCAAGCTCAATCAAGAGTTCTACCTGTTCGCGATGGGCAATTTTAACCTTGAAAGAAAACATTATTTAGAAACTTTATTTGTGGAACTAAACAGGATAATCTAAAATCAACTTGCTCGACCATAAATATATTTCTTTTTCGTTGCGTGGACAACAAAGGCAATAAATTTCAAACCACTCAAGGGGAAGTTATCCACAGATTTCTACTCACAAGCTGTTCTCCGTATTTGAAGAGTTTTCCACCGTCTCCGTCGAGGTAAAACTCTGCGAGAAACCGCTTTGCTTTGTCTGCAACGAGATCGATGCGAAATAAAACACATGAAGCCAAACCGTAACCGTAATCACTGTAATTGCAACACAACAACCAAAAGAGATCAAAAATCGTTCGGTTACCTTTTTCTGCTTGATAATCAGGCATACTTGGTGCAGAATTTAAACTCTGAAGCAAAAAGACGTGCTTTACTCGTTGCCTAACTGGAAGACTTGATCTGTTCGACTAAAGCGTCGTGGAACATGTGACGAATTTGGCGCGAAAACCTCAGAGCCTTGCTGCATTGTGGGCAGAATGAATTGGTCAGGGTGTCGTGTAAGCCAACATGTAATGTCTAAAAAGTGCAAGCAGGATATCGCTTATATTAATAGTTATGAGAGAAGATCAGTGTCGGTTAAACTTTTGTAATCTTCAAGAAAAATCGATTCCAGAAGTTAGATTGAGCAGTGATTTTGTAATTTGCACTTGGAAGGTAAGAAGTGCACTTCTTTTACGTACGAATGTGGTATGAAGAATTAAACGACGGCAAGATGTGAATTGATCGTGTACAAACAAGCAATGATTAGAAAATGCAGTAAGATGCAAAGATTGCCTCAACTTCTAGTTTGGTCATATCATGTTTCTAGATTCTCCAATCCCCAATACCTTCAAACGTCTCCCCCCACCCCTACCCAACTTTTGCCTAATATATACGCCACTTTTAGACCCACAGTTCCTCTAGCCTAACCCTTTCCATCCAAAGATCAATATGCACATTCTCCATATTGTTCTCTATACATTTCCCAAGGTGCTGACAAGGAGAATTTGTTTAATAATTAAGAGGTTCTTTAGTTGATGATCATTTCCTTCATTCTCGTTACCTTAATGTGTGATTAAAGGGTGATACTGTGTGGAAAAATTAAATGCTAATCACTCTCAGAGATGACAGACTAACATTTAATTGGGTAACATTCTGCACAGCCCCATACTATTGTAAAACAAATATGTTTTCCTAATGGCAATGTATTGTTTTTGTCATTGTTTTCTGTATCCAAGAACTGAACACATAATGCAATATAGGGCTGTGTGGAAATTTTTACTTTATTTGAGACCTCAGAAGGAAAGAAGAATAATTTTGATTTGATGCCTTCACTTGATAATGTTACAGGAAGAGTGAAACTCATCTTTATTGAAAAATTTATTTAGCAAAAATTTGATGAAACACATTTAGATAAAAAAAAGTTTAAGTTCACTTTTCAAATATACAGTAACTTTCATATTTTGCACAGAATGGTGATGAACACAGATGGATTCAAATAGGTAGGTGGGTGATGGTCATTTATTTTTTTGTACCTGCTAACAAGTTGTTGGTTACAGTTATGGATGGAATGAAGGCAACATCTTCAGACTGAAGAAGCTTACAACATCAAAACTCGTTGCTCTCTATGTCAATTTATCAGCACCCCAGATAGAAAGACTTAAAGTGAGAGTAAAGGGTTTTTATGAAGAATGTCAATTTATGTCAATTTATCAGCACCCCAGATAGAAAGAATTACACCAAGAATAATGAGTCTTTCTGAAGAATGCAACATAATGACCTGCACCAAGGTCTCAGTTCCAAACCTTTTAACCTGTCATGGCATGCACTAGCCAATGGTTTCCAATTTTCTCAGATATTGTGATATCTTCATTTTTAGTTAAAGAAGCATTTGGTGAATTTGTGTCTGATTGGAGTGCAGAGAGATTTGTTGAGAGGTGTGCAATTTATCATTTCTGGATGACTCATTCTGAAGTAATTAGGGTATAATAATATTGTAAAGAATCCTCTGGGAGGCATTGTCCTAAAAAATATGTCATTCCCCCTAAAAGCTATTATCAAAATTTTCTTTAACAAAGATTTGCTTTGACAATAAAAAATTATTTGCAACATAAAAACTCTAAAACAATTGCCCAGTGTACAAACTCTTCTCTAACCAGGATTTCCTCTTATCACAAGTTTGGCATCAACAAGAACTGTTTATTGACCTCTCTGCATTTTACACCACATTGCTTTTTTACTGCAATACTCTACAACTATAGAGCAGTAGGCACATACAGTCATAGACTGTCTTTTATTTTGTACAGGTATGCATCAAGTCCTCTGTTTAAGGAAGATGGCTTTTTCTTCATCAGACATAACAAGAGGTATGTAGCCACAGCATTTGCCTGGCAAGACAAATTGAATTCATTGGAAGGACGTCTTCATTGGTTGGCAGTCTTGCCTGAGTATCACAGACAGGGCTTGGGAAGGGCTCTTGCATTGCACGTTCTTCTTTACCATAAGGATCATGGGAAGGAATCAGTGAGTCTTATAACAGAGGTGTACAGACATTCTGCCCTTAAGCTTTACAAAGACATCGGATTTGTTTGTAGTGCTGAAGAGACCTGACAAAGCCACTGGCACAAGTTGCCACTGCATTGGCAACGTAGGTGTTATGCTCTGCCACTGGCATGCACAAGGGAAGGGAAGTGAGATGCTGGTGCCTGTCTTCAAGCTGGGCTCTAGTCAGCCATATGGGCTAAATTCTGACTTCCAGGTTCTCTGAGCAAAGTGCACATTTCCATTTTTTTTCAATTATGTTGATTCATTGCAGCAGGTACCATTTTGCATAAAGCGTAATAACTTGACCATAAGAAAGGTCAAAGCTTGTAAGCTTTGGAAACAGTGAATTTTTATTGACCTTCTTGTTTTATGTAAATAGAACAAGTTTTTTATATCATATCCTCCACTTGTTGGTTAATTCATTTTATTTCTTGAAATGTTTGTTTGTTTGTTTTACTTTTGTAGTATCAAAAATAACTTTTAGAGTTTTCTTTTTTTAAGTAATTCCTAAGTAACATGAGTTCAATGTGTAATTTCTGCATTTCAATGCAGGCCATATTGAAAAAAGAAGTCTGTAACTGAAAAATCTAGTCTACTTTACCTTCAAAGTTACCCTGAAGGGTTTTATATCTAAAATAATTTAGGAAAATTACACCTTGAGATCGAAATATACAAAATATATACCAATAAAAGTATCTTTGAAGTTCTGTATTACTTAGTCTTTGTCACCAACAAGCTTTTGGTATCTTGAGCTGAAGATGAAGGCCACTAAATCACGAACTTTAAAACACAAGTTTTGAATAGTTTTACCGCTTTTAAATCATACGCATGGAGGAAAAGATATCATTACTTTCCGGTTTTTTTTCTGATGCTGTTCAATAAGGTAGCATAGAATCACGCATATGTCGTGAGTGATGCATGTAAATTATAATAGCAAACATACATGTGCTTAGTCGCCTTTTCGTCCTAACTGGAACATATATCTAAAGGGTTACAATCATCAACTCAAATTCAACTTTAACTTAGTATCAATTCAAATGTTCTCTGACTCTTTGACAGGAGCTGGTCTCAAAATAATTACAATGTACATGTAAACTGCCTGAATTGTGGGAAAACACGAGCGAACAAGTTGCGATTGATTTTATCTTACATCTGATCGGTAGATAGGTCAGTCCGAGTTTTCTAAAACAATGTCGGAACATCGTGAAGAGCCATCGGCGAACGTATCTTGGTTTACTATGGGTACTCCGTTGAAATTGCCTTCACTCCAACTTGACCCAATAGACGGCAATCACATGACTGTTAATAAAGAGCAGTCCCAGTTTTATGTATTTCTTCTTCAAAGCTCACATTCTTTTTCTCGCCCACTGTAACTGCTTTTCCATTAGACGAAATGTTCGCATCCTTGACATATTTCCCACTTCCTCTCTTTCTTGCCCTGGCATTTTTCTTGAGCTTTTTCAAAAACAGATGTAACATAAATGTCAAAAACGAAAATACCATTAAAAATCCCACAACGGCGACAGCAAGAACTAAACTTGATAATGGCTTCTTTTCTAATTCCTTGTCGCTACTAGGCTTGGATTGGTCTACAACAAAACAAAACAAAACAAGTATTTTAGATCATTTATGTGGATGCTAAAGACGATTGTTTTAGTGTCTCGCACCAAGAAACTGACGGAGAACTTCAGATCACTTAGGTTTCTTGAAATGGTTCTGGATGTTTCATCACTCGGTGTGCATTGTAATATCATGCAAGTAGTCCTGTGCTGTTCATGCGGAATGAGAAATGTTCAGCTTAATTCGCGCCGGTACCGTTTTACTTTCTTAGCCAGCTCTATCAATACGATCATTCTTAATTTATAGAAAATGAAAGTGGAGATTGTAATTCTGTGTTCCTAGAAGTAGACTATTATTTTATATTATTTACTATTATTTAGTATAAATCTGTATCATTATATCACAAATGCTGAAATCTGGGTGGCTCCACTACTCGGTGTCTATTCTGTGATGAAAAGTGAGTGGAGAGAGGCCCCTAACAGTGTGCAGTTGCCAACAAATTAGAATAAAAACACGAACCTACCCGGTTATTACATTTTGAACGACTAGTAGATTTATAATAAAATAACTAAAATATTCGTTTCCCGTTTCTATCTGTGATAGTATATTCGGGCGTCGCCCTTGATCAGCTATCACGCGATAGAAATCTTGCACTCGTAACCTAGTTGTTAAATATATTGATTATTGACATTAAATAATTAGTTCATACTTAGCGTGCGTATATAGAGCACGCGGGAAGTTTGGAGAGTACGAGAGAAGGGTAAGAGGTGCTCAAGGCGCAGCCGAGCGCAACTCTAGCTTCTTAACTTGCGCCCGCGATATGTTTTTATACCTGTTGTGCCTATCTTGCTCTCCATGTTTGAATCAATGTCAAATCCTTCGTCCACTTTGGAGATAACTGCAGGGTTTGTTCTAAAGATTCTGGGAGTTGTCTCTGAAGAGAAAATCAGTGAAAAGTGAACAGTTAAGAAAAGAGTAGTACAGCGTAAACTCTTTTCTTAAAAAAATCCCTCTACTTCTAAGATCTAACCGCCAATCTTCTTGTTGATTGAAACTCAATTTCTTGACGGGTTGTTTATAGTTTTTATAATTCAGCGCGCTATCAGTACATCATCCTGCTGAAGATATATATTTTTTCGTATTCATGATCTATCAGATGGTTTTAAGTTATGTCTGGAACGCAAACGACGGAAGGATTTAAATTAAACCTTGACCTCTTAGCCCGGATTTATCTTTTCAAACGCCCGTGCACGTGTATTAGCCTACAATCTTGGTTTCTTCAATTGCGGTTTAAGCCGTTTTTTTTTTTTGTTTTTTTTTTTGTCGCGGATGCCAAAAGATTATAATCAACACCTTAACAAACATTGCGATTATCAAGCGATATCCAATCACCACAAGTCCTAATATCCCTGCATTAGAGGAGTGCGGTCCGTTTGCCAATCAAGAGTAGAGACGCGTTTCAATGTTGTTTGTGGAGGGAAAAAACGATTTGCAGTTTGTAAATTTTAAGAGAAGTTCACCGAAAATTGTGGTAAATTTCTGTTGTAAGGGTGCACAAGTTCATTTTTTTGTACTAACCATCAGAATTTATCCGCGGACAGAAATCGACGAGGGGTACATTATTAATGATACCAGAAATTACTTATCGTCATTTTTCACAGCAGGAAGAGTTAAAATCAAACCGGTTTAACTGAATGATAAATTTGCATTCCGTTATTGAAAACATGTTGGGCTAACATAAGCGAAATCGGCTCATATCCGTTGGAAAAAGAGTTTTTATTAGCTATATTAATTAATTGCTTCGTGTGCACTGTTACGGATGATCGGCAAAAGGAGTTATATTTTCATCGAGACTATTCTCAGTAGAAGTATATTTTCAGCGCATTTGGGTTTCGAAGGTTGCACAGAAATGGATTTATACACCTTATTCGATGTTTAGGGGGGTAGGGACGAGGAATAATGTGGCCAATGAGCTGAGATGTTAAACCATCGAATAAGGGATTTATTAATTCACTATGATTTTGGTTTCTGGTATTTTTGCTTTCAGTCTTCCAAGTTAATCCCAAGGCCTCATCTGCGCATCGCATCGATCGCATAAGGCGTGCGCGAAAGAGGAAAACAACCAAAACGAAACTATCGAATTAAAAAATATCTGAAGCGCTGTTGCCCTGCTGTTCTGCAATGCAATACCGCAGCTGATTTTGCGCATCCCAGTGCCCTAATATGATACAATGGCATAGTTGTGGAATGATAATTAAAAAGATAACACTGCGGACTAAACTTTCAATGATCTGACACCAACCTAACACTTGTGTTCCAGTTGTATTAGGCCACGGTACAGGCCAACGAGAAAGCTTGCACAAACCATCTCCAGCAGGAATTTCAGGGTGATAAGGTATGCACTGTGGAAAGTCGATGTTATGTTTCTTAAATTCCTCTTCACAATCACGTCTGACTTCCTGGCACATAGATGGACAGGCGTGAAGGGTGGAACCATCATTAGTGACGCAGGGTGCAGTCTCAATGAAGCAGGCTAACCGTCTTAACTTGACTGAGCAACTTGAGTTTAGGACTGGGTCGAGATTGCTGAGAAAAGACTGGAGTCGATGTCTTGTGTTGTTTCTCAGTCCACTGACATTGTCTTTCAAACAAGCAGGCCGACTTGCGGTTTCACAACTTGGTAATAATGGTTCTATAAAGCAATAAAAAAAAGACACCTTCGCTTTAGTATTCTAGTTTGATGTATTATTCAGTCGTTTTAGTTGTCACAATTCTCCAAATATCTGACGAATAGGAATTTAATGAATTATTGGTAAAACTTGACCTGTTTCTCCTTGAAAAGTTCTTCAGTGGCAATATTTCAAAACATTTTAAATTTTACTTGACAAGTCGCTTTGACACGGTCCTGTATCCAAAGTCCTAACATGCCTTTTTTCGGAAATGGAGATTTGTCAAGCGAAAAGCTAATTGACTTAACACTTGCTATAGGAAACTGTTAAGAGCTACGGCAGAATTCCATTTTAATGGACTGCGGATTAAAGAGAATTTACTTTCAGTCTTCGCCAGCAAGTCATCCTTGTCAAGCACCTCTAAATATTACTTTTTGTCACTGATAGCTTAATTCTACAGCGAACAATTCATGCTATGCTTTTGTCACGTGTTGCCTTGCCGATGTGAATGTTGTTAGATTCAATATCTTGTAAGTGTGAAGTGGTACAACCCAAAAACCCTACACCTATCTTTAGTAAAAGGCTTGCTCTCGAAACTTCAGACTTTCAAAATTAATTGTGGTAATGACTTAACCCTTCTCAACTTCAAGTTGTTAATGACTATAGTATTCCGGAAATTCCGTCAGCCCACCAACGCACCAAACAGTGTTTCAGGAAAAAATTTAATCGGGTTTTTTACGACTTTTGTTTTTATGATTTTTAAAATCTCATGGAACACAATTTTTAAGCCACGAATAAGAAATAAGACAACTCTACAACAAAACATGCAACAACTCAGCAAGCAGACATTTGAAATATCAACAGATTTCATTGCAAGCTACTGCTATTTTTGGCATGGAACTTCTTCAATATCGGACCGTCAATAGGGTACTTGATTTCGCTCTTTCTTAAACATGTGTAAATCAACTTCTTTAAGCTAAAGTTTGAACTTGTAAGACAGCGGTGGCTGAGGGTGGAGCAGACGTAAAATCATACAGCGATGTTCAAAGTCACAAACCTTCAAGACTGAGAAAAGGCGAGCTAAGTCTGTCAAACAATTAAAAGAAATAATTTTTAAAAAAAATTGAAATATGTCATAGTCTTGCGATCCTAAGTGCGATAAACACGTTAATTCTGCCGAAGTTTTTTTCCTCACGAACGGAACTGAGAAAGGGGGATC